TATATCCCAGCCTCCCCTCTATACTATATCCCAGCCCCCCTCTATACTATATCCCAGCCCTCCCTCTATACTGGGGGTCTCGTGGCTGTGCAGCGGGCGGTGGTGGTGGTGGCAGGGGTCTCGGTGGAGCTGGGGTGTAGCTGGTTCCCCCAAAGGTTTTAAAAGTGGCTTTTGGAGCTGCAGGTTTTTGCTGCCTGCGTGCATCCAGGTACTCATCTGCCTTCCTGGCAGCTTCGGTGAGGGAGGTAGGGTTTCTGTCTCTTACCCACTCCTGTACATCGCTGGTTACTCCCTCATACAATTGCTCCATCAGCATCATTTGTATTACATCCTCCATGGACCGTGCCTTGCTCGCTTGCACCCACCCAAGTGCTGCCCTTTGTAATCTGCATGCCCACTCTGCGTGTGAGTCTTTCTCCACCTTCTTTAAATCCCTGAATCTCCGCCGGTATGCTTCCGGTGTTATAGCATACCTGGCCAGTATACTTTCCTTTACTTTGCTGTAGTTCCGTATTTCCTCATTGGGTACAGTACGGTATGCCTCGGCTGCCCTCCCAGTTAACCTTCCTGCCAAAATAGGTACCCAGTCCTGTGCGCTGATTCTATGTAGTGCACACAGTCTTTCTAAATCTAGCAGGAAAGCGTCTATATCTTCCTCTGCCTCCACATACGTTTTAAAAGCCTGGTATGGTATTTTAGGCTTACCTTCTTGTGGCATATTTACTGCAGAGCTGCATTCTGGGGCTGCTGTTTGTTTTCTCAATATAAATTCCTGTACTTCTGTCATAGTTTTTGAAATAATTTCTGTTGTAGGGTGTTCCCCATAGAAAGATAGCCGAAATTGTAGCTGCCTCTGGAACTCCATCTGTTCCGGTGTTTCTCCCGAATCCCCCTGTTCGGGAACCGAATCGCCATCCATTCGGTACTCCGCCATCAGTTCAGTAATGAGTACCGCTTTCTTCTTATTGCTTGCTTGTATACCCCTTGCCTCCAGGAGGTCTTTTAGCGTGGAGCGTTTTAGTGTGGCAAAATCAACCTCCATCCGTACTCCATTTATGCTTGTTCCTCTGTGAGTCTGGATCCCAGCAATGTAGTGGAGATGCAATATTCCCCAGGTTATCTCCGCTTATAATCCAAGAGAGGCTCAGGAACAAGTAAATAGTAAATCCACAGGCAAGGTTTCCAGCAGGTAAAATAACAGCAATATCCCAACAGCAATCCCAATAACTGGACGACACACAGTTTCAGGAGCAGAACTGAAATCTTTAATCCACACTGTCCTTTTAAAGCATGCTCCCATGCAAGGGAGGGATTTACAATCATTTGTACAGTAGCCAATCCTGTCCTGGTAACCTCCCACACATCTCCTCCCCTCAGCCTGCATCATAATCCCCTTATCCAATCTAGCAATTCCCCCCGTTTCTGGTTGTACCCCTAAACGTAGAAGTACCCCTTTAAATCCTACTCCCCCGGATAGCCCTGATCTGGGTGAACAACATATCCAAAAATCACCCAGATCAGACCAGGGGTTCGGGAAATTTATGGAGGGAATAAAATGACCGGCCGCACTGAGTGAAACAGCCGAATGCGGTTCCATGCGAATGGGCCCTGCGGTCGGTCCCGGAGTAAGGGAACAAACTGCACGAAAGCCTCTAGTTATAGAGGCTAGGGAGGGTTCACCTGAATCCCCTCGTTCGGTTCTTTCTATCTACTGAACGAGGGGCCGTTCGGTAGTTAGGAACTGTGACGAGACCAATCTCGCCACATTGCATTGGAGAAGCCTGGTTGCTCGCCTGCTGCCTCTGGACTATGGCCCCCTTTTAAAAGACTTTATTTCGCCTGGAGAAAAGCTGTATTCGTGCTTTTCTGCCAGTTGTTCGGTAGATTCAATCTACCGAACAACCGCACAAATGAATAGACCACCTGGGAGCTGGAGTGTGCCGGCAATTAACCTCCCTGAAGCTGCGGTTAACCGCAGCTTAATTGACGAATGCTGGGTGGCCGCCATTCGTATCCCGAACACGAGGTCGCGGCCATTTTAAACATACGAATGCACAGCGGTGTTCGCCCCTATTTTCATGGAACTAAAATCGGACACAGTTTTGCGCAAACACCGCTGAAGCCGCCGACCTCCCTTCTTGTTCAGTGGAAGTGCACGAACTGACCGGTGTTCGGTAGTTTTGGTTGAATGTGTTATACCCCAGATAGGAATCCCATGGAGCCCATTCGTATGAAACTGACTGTAAAGACTTTGGCTCCATGGCGATTAAACTGTATTCGTGTGGTCTGAGCGCCATTCGCTTAATAATGTGCACTCAGACCTGAGCTATCTGGGGATATGTTACATGTCTGTGTTTTATGTAATAAATGCTACTTTATGTATTTTAAAGTATAATACTGGTTTTGTATCCCCACATGTGTAATGGAGTTTTGCCTTTGTCTTGGGAGATAATTTAATTACTTCCCAATTAACTCCCAGGGCAGAGGGGAGGAAGCCAGGATGCATTGTGGGAATATATTGTGACTGTGTGTCCTATTTGTCTACTTGTCTGTCTTTTGTCACAGTCTCCCATTTGGTCCCCTAGGGGAGTGTCCACCAGGTGGGAGACCTTCATAAATACTGGGCAGGTAGCCCTCATTAAACAGACCACTGCTTGACCCTCAACACGGAGCCTTGTCTCGTCTTTGGGGGGATTTACTGTATGCTGCTAAGGACTGATTGCCAGGTGTGTAAGCCGCTTGGGAGCTTTTCCTGTTCGTCTGGTAGCAGCAATTCGTATGGTTCCTGTTCGTGTATTTGGAGTGCTACCTTATTCCCTTCTATGCCGTTCGGGAGTTTGCAGCATTCACTTGTATGCAGTTCGAGTGTTTGGACCATTCCCTTGTATGCAGTTCGAGTGTTTGGAGCATTCCCTTGTATGCCGTTCGGGAGTTTGGAGCATTCACTTGTATTCAGTTCATGAGTTTTGGTGATTCTACAGTAGCTGTGCCTGTCTCTGAAAGGGGATTATCGTCTAAGCGGTTTTTTTCCCCTTTTGTGCAAAACGGTCCGTTACAGGAACCGAATGGACCGGGCTTGTGGAGGTTTCAGCGGTATTCTCCTAGTCGAATGTCCGATTTGAGTTCCAGACACTCGACGGCAAAACACCGCTGTTCGGGAGTTTTAAAATGGCCGCCGCCACGTGTTCGTTTGTCGAATGGCGGCCACCCCCGAGAACAAAGGACGGCTACTTCACTTGCCAATTACCCGTTCGCAACAATGTTGCAACGGGTAATTGAGAACACACTTCACACAGGGGAGGTCTGACTATTCGGTAATTTCATTCGAACAAACTAAGGGAATGAAACTACCTAACATTCAGACGACTCCAATACATTAAATACATAGACTTTGCCATTTTCATACGAATGCATAGAAGTACATAAATTGCTCAGGACAGCACAGGGCCATCCGCTACATTCACCCACTGGAGCCTTGTCGTAGGTCCAGGGTGGGTTGGAGATGGCGAGATCCCAACCAAGCTGTGGCGGTTCGTGGGGTCTGCAGTGCTTATGGTGTCTGGTGCGGTGTTAATGGTCCTCGGTGAGCACTAGGAGCATCGATTGACGGAAGGTCAGTCACACTATCTTAATATTGAGTAGTAACAATAATACAACGATTGTTGTGACAGTATGTATCTATACTCGATCTCAGCACTAGAATAAAGTGCAAAAGTATTGTAAGTTGAATCGCTCCAATATTTTTTTTTATATATTCTTTATTTTTGTTGTGCAAAAATGGTTACAAACAGGCCTGCAGTGCCACGACGGCAGTAACAAGCAAATCAAGGCATTCAGTATTATGACATAGGATTGAATTGCACAATTTTAAACAGGTAAAAACATGGTAATGTAGGTCTCTGCAGAAGATAAGCATGTAAGAATGGTACAAAACAGGTATTTGCACTGGCATTTTTGGTATTGAAAAAAAAAAAAAAAGGAGTAGTATTATAATAAGAGCATACTTCACAAGTATAACCAGCTTCTGGATTATATGTTAGTTTAGGATCGTATATAAACGGGTTATCGTTCAGGCAATTTAAACATTTCGTAACATGGGAAGCCTGTTGGGTAGATATGGGCCTTAATGTTAGGTTGCAAGCTATGTGGCTGCTGGTGAAGGTTGCCCCGTGTATAAGTGTGTGGGTCGAAAAGCAACAACATGCTTTCATGCCGCTGGGTTGGGGCCAAAATACAGTAGTTATAGGCCACAAATACCACTGGGTAAGACAATGTGTATGGGGATTAAAAAGGGACAAAAAAAAAAAAAAAACCAAACAAACAAAAAAAAAATCTAAGAAACAGTAGTACAATCGTGTTACCATAGCTTTAACTGGTTGAGCTGGACCTCTAGCTGTCTGAGCTCGAATTGTATTATGGGAGCTGTAAATCAGGCTGTGAGCTGTATCTCTGGTACTTGCTATGTACCTTTAGTGTTAAGGTGTGTCGCTGGGCGTTTTGCATCTTAGTAGCTACTAGATCTTGTGCCGGAGATCCTACTGGAGAGATCTGATTGGGATCTTTGGTGTTCTGTGGGGCTGTGAAGACCCTGGGTGGTGAGGAGTGGGCTGTAGGGGTTTTGAGTAGCTGCCCTGTAAATGTGTCGCTTTAGTGTTAGGATTGTTGGGAGCCTATATGTACCTGAGTGGGCATCTAGCAGTGCGTGAGTGAGGCGGTGAGCAATTGTTGCCTACACTGGATTTGGGAGATAGTGAGGCTCGTGCTTGGTGTTCCCCTAACCATGGGGGATGCGGGGGGGATGGGTGAGTGGTAGGCTCCCTTACTCGCGGGGTTGGGGGTTGTAACTCCCCTCCTATGTGTCCTATCTTAAGAAGACCCCGATAGTGAGGCAAGCATTTGTAAGTGTATCAAACAGGGATAAAAACTTGTAACAAAATACTTGTACAAAAACAGTGATAATGCGGCCCTTGGTTGTTTGCGTGAGCCGTGTTTAGGTATTCAGTCCTGTTCCCTTCCGTGGTTCGTGTTGTTGGCGTCCTGGGGTGAAGGGGACTATGGTGGTCGGGTCCCATGAGTGGGTGCTGGCTGAGTCATCAGGAGGTGCGGAGAGTCCCATTCTCCCAAATAGGGCTGGAGCTTCCTCTGCCGAGAATATAGTGTGAGCTGTCCCGTTGTGGAGCACACTGAGCGATCTTGGTGGGGTCCAGCGGTATGCTATTCCAGCATTCCTGAGCCGGCTTGTTACTGGGAGCATTGTGCGCCTCCACTGTAAGGTGGACTGTGATAGGTCTTGATAAAATGACAGACCTGAGCCCTCAAACTGGTAGGGTGTGTGGTCCCGTAGTGCTGCCAGGAGTGTCCGCTTGTCTTGTGAGGATGTGCAGTGGATGAGGATGTCGCCGACAGCCTGAGATGGGGCCCTGGCTGATTTCGGTAGGCGGAACATACTGTCGATCGTTACTTTTTTGGCTTGTGTTGGAGGTAGGAGTGAGGTTACTAGGCGCCTTAAATAATGGGGCAGTTCTTCCATTGTATTAGTTTCAGATACCCCCCTGATTTTCAGGTTATTGCGCCTGGAGCGATCATCTAACGTAGTAAGTTGTAAGGAGAGTGCCTGTTGGGCTTTCCTCACTTCCTGGAGCGAGTCTCCCATGTGGGATACAGCTTGCTTCACATCTATGATGTCTTCTTCTGTGCTATGGACCCTGTCAGTCACCATTTGCAGATCTGTCTGTATCACTGCAATATCTGCTGCCCAGGTCTGCCTAAAGTCAGCTAGAAGTGCTTTAATGTCCTGCTTAGTGGCTAGCTTGGAGAAGTCAGGGTAAGGTGGTGCTGTTTGCTCATAACCTTGTTGCTCAGATTGAGGCTGTGTCTCCTCCTGTGTGGGAGTCTGAGGTTTACTGGTGATTGTACCTGCTTCCAGCGTCGCCATTTTGCTTTGGGCCTGTTTCTGGAGCATGTCCCCAATGTCTCTAGAATCTCCTGGTGTCCCCAGCGGTGGTCTTTGCGATCTCCTCCCCATTTCGGGTAGTAGCACTGGCGTTGGGGTTGCAGTTGGCTGTGCTCTTGTGCCCAGTATCTGGGACGGATTCTGACACACCTCGAGGCCGAGGCCTGGGGGGAGGTGGTAGGCCGCAAGCCTCCTTTTCCGCCGTTTCAGCCCGGGTTGCAGAAAAAAAGGCATGTACCGGCTCCGTGCGTCGTGCCGGGTTGAGTCTACCTGTTGTGGCAGTCGGATGGACACAGATGCCCCTGATTTTGGGTGGATTAGGCAGTTTATCTCCGGAGCCATGAGTAATGGCGTCCGCTCTGGTCCGCGGTTAAGCCCCGCCCCCCGAATCGCTCCAATATTAAGTACGATACAATGTTGCAATAGTTGTTGCACACACTATAATATAATAGTTGCAAAGTTCTATGGTCGGTCTTTCCGCTGCGTGTAGAGATGCAGTGGCAGGATATCTGTAGTATTACTGCACACAAGTAATAGGAATGGTACGAGTGAGGGAGTACAAATATACAGGAAGAGGGGAAATAGGAAAATAGACTAATTAGCCCTATTGTACCTTCGAGGGCACCCCTTACCCCGACAAAAAACTTGCCCTGTACTCTCCTGTATTATAGGTATAGCCACCACCCAGAGAATAGTATTATTATAATAGTAGATATAATTGCACTGAGACACTGCGATAGCGTGCAGCTATCGAAATGCTCTAAGGACCGTTGGTTGTAAAGATAAGTAACTAGTAGTCTGAATGAACAAAATTCCTCATGAACCTGGTAACAGTTCATTGGTAAGATCCTAGTGATAGCAGAGGTGCCCCTGATGCGCGTTTAACTTATTCAGCTCACCAGAGGTTTGTATGTATGTTAATCGATGTTCAAGGGTTCTAATAGGGTACAGGGGTGGTCTTCGTTTGGGAGTGGAACTAAGGGGGTTCGGGTACAATAACTCCTGAATGGACAAAAAGTTAAAGTAGTACAAAGGAAAGGCACGTTCCGCC